ACGTTTCTTTGCCAGTGACTGTATTGCTTTATTGACCTTTTCTTCCACTACTTTACTGACCTTTTCTTCAAAACTTTCAGAACCACCTTCCTCTTCGATGGTTCTTACCCGGCTGTCACTGCGAGGTTCCACCATATGTACTCGCGCACCTCCATGACTAGCTTTCTTGGCGGCTTCGAATTCTAACGCATGGGCCAAAGCTTTCTCAATTTTGTCGTGCCTAGCCAGTCTCAAAGCCTGCTGGGCATCTCCATCACGAACGGCATCGATAAATGTTTGTACAGCCAGTTGATCAAGAAAGCTCTCCGGTGCCGTAGGGTATGCCAATCGAATCAGTCTAGCGATGTCCGCTTCAAGTTCCTGCAAACTTTCTCCAGATTTCTGCATTCGGTTCTTGACTTGGGCATAGTAAACTTGCTGAAGGTGTTTATCGCATTTCGAGTCGCGCTACTATTTGTTGGAAGTTCTGTTGATCCTCGGGGAGAGTCCGCAACACATCCAGAGCATCTCCTCTCAGAGCAAGAATCAGGGCTGTAGTTTTGTCTTGAAGAGTCCATTTATTTGCCGCAGCCGCTGCTTCAAACTGTCGAACGTACGTGGTCCAAGGAATCTTACCATCAAAAGTAGGTGGCTTTATTCGGGCTTGCTGAACGTCGCCTTCTACTCTTGTATTTGTTTCTGAGTCGACCTTCTTGTAATGAGTAGACTGTGGCACCTCAAGAAGACGGTCCATCAGTAATTCATCTAGGGCACTACTAGTACGCTCTTCCGTAGTCAGTCGCAAGAATTGCTCGCGCAGCTCTTCATACTTGTGCTCAATCTCGACGAATGTTGCTTTAAATGTTTTGGAAACTTCCGTAATTCTATCTTCAACTTTTTCTTCAATTGATGTAGAGACTTCTTCGATAATCTTTCTAGAATTTTCCTCCATCTTTTCGAACTTCTCGTCCATTTTTCTAGAGTTTTCCTCAATCTTCTCGAACTTCTCTTGAATATTTTTAGAATTTTCTTCATTAATCTTTCTAGAATTTTCTTCCAACTTCTCGAACTTCTCTTGAATATTTCTAGAATTTTCTTCCAACTTCTCGAACTTCTCTTGAATATTTCTAGAATTTTCTTCCAACTTCTCGAACTTCTCTTGAATATTTCTAGAATTTTCTTCATTAATCTTTCTAGAATTTTCTTCCATTTTCTCGAACTTCTCTTCAAAATTTTTAGAATTTTCTTCCAACTTCTCAAACTTCTCTTGAATATTTCTAGAATTTTCTTCATTAATCTTTCTAGAATGTTCTTCCATTTTCTCGAACTTCTCTTCAAAATTTCTAGAATTTTCTTCCAACTTCTCTTGAATATTTCTAGAATTTTCTTGGGTGCTTTTCATTTCTTGTTGCAACACCTGTTGGCCATTTTGGATTTGCTGGAGCAAATTGAGCATCGTTTCTTCCATTTTAGCGGCAGCAGATCTTGTTACAGGCATACACAAGCACAAGCACTTAATTTAATCTTACTTTTAATTAATTTAATTAACCCCACACCTGACACCAATGTAACGTTATTTATAAAATTCGGGTTCGATTTATATCAATATTTATTAAACAAAACTAAAACACTATAAAATCCGTACAATTTATATCGATTATTTATATCACTCACACTTCGCAATTTATTTCCGTGCTCGATCTCGTTCGATAGTAGACTGCCGCGATGTTCGGTCCGCAACCATTTATACACGCAAGCAATGTAAGTCCAGTACATTCTCGAATACGCGTAGAACATTCCAGAGAATTCTGGAGCATTTCCGTTACAATATGCTTCTGGAGTAATCTAAATGGATTTTTAGATGCTTATAAGAGTTCAGTAGGTAACCCAAACAATTTTGGTTCCATCTTTAATAATGAACTGCCCGCTGAAAGACAAAGATCCTGACAGGAAATGCCATGGGGCATGAGGGGCGGAAACATATCACTCACTCGTCACTCGCCAGCTTTTATTATTTATTATCCCCCTCTTGTTCTGGGCCCTCAACAGGCTTGCGCCCAATTACAGAGTGACCCGCATAATGCTTTTTAGAGGTGCCTCTGCAGAAGGTATTTATCTTACGAATTAGGAAAACCTAATTCGGAGTAGCCGGCAGAATGATTGAAAGTGGTCTAAGGTAATTTCCATCTCTGCCACAGATGAAAAATTCACCCCAACCCAGGTTCGAACACCCAACCTCCGGATTTATAACTCTACGCTCTACCACTGAGCCATAATGCCGGTGCAAAGCGAAATCGCTTGCGGATTCTGAGCACTTCTAAAAGTGCTCAAGCGGTTTATCGCGAGCGCTCGGGAAAAGTGCTCGTGAGCGGAAAAAGCGCTCGGGAGTGGAAAAAAACATTCGGGACCGAAAAAACGGCGCTTAAGGCTGGACAGTACACCCGTTCCGTTGCCCGAAAACGCGTGATTTCGTTCCACGATATCTTAATTCTGAGTGAAGTTGAAGAAGGGGTCGAATATTCCTGTGAAAGGTGAATGCTTTAGCTAGACAATAACGCCGGGGTTTACTAAAATGTTTTAAAATAATCTTTTTTTTAAGGGCAACGTCGAGGGCTGTTAGGGTGTCATATTTTGGAAAAGAAAAAAGGAAATAAATTTTCCTGGCGTTATTGCCTAGATATTAAGTTTACGAACGTATCTTAATTTTGGAAATTGTTCCAACTTCATTTATAGATAAGTTATCTTGGAAAAACAACTTAAAAGTTTTCCTCAAAAGCGCGAAAAGATAGCTTCCGCCGCGTGGCTGGTTTTATACAGGTAGAAAATATGCATTATAATTGGACTAAGTTTATGTTTTTACCATCGAACACAAATTAATATTATAAATAACCAAATTTGGGGATTGACAATAGGCAACTTTACATACTCCGTTCTGTATGTACTGTCCAGCCTTAAGGCTTGGGCACACAGAAAACGGTCTGTCGCGGCGATCCAGATATAAGTAGATCGCGGTAGACAGCGTTCTGTGTGACAGATGATGCACCACAGTGTAATACAACTAGACCGCCTCGGTCTGAGATCTCAGCCTGCCGCGACTGACCGCTTTCTGTATGCCCAAGCCTTTAATCCTTTAGCGCTTGAGGGCGGTTAAATCCGTTCGTGAGCGAAAAAAAAACGCTCAGTAGCGGAAAAGCCGCTCGCGGGCAGAAAAACACGCTCGAGCGACGAGCACTTTAAGTAAACGCTCGAGTGTACCAAGCGGCCGCTCCGAAAAGTACTCGCGAGAGGTGCTTTTTCCGCTTGGAGCTCTTTTTCAAGCGAAATACTCGTGAGCAGTAAGTACCCAGCTCTGATCAACGACTGTTCTCATATTTTGCTATAGCGACAATAGTGAAACATGTTTGACTTTCGCTTTTGATTTATGCGATCGCGCAAAAATAGGAGGCGCACATCTTTAAAGCCGCTTTACAAGGCAATTTTCGTGCAATGCAAGTTAGAGATACGTTACTGCGCATGTTCATACGCAATTCAGGTGCAAGAAAAATAAATAGAGAAAGTTCTATTTCACTTGCAAGTTTGACGCAAGTTCTAGTAACTTTTCTAGTACTTTTGTCAATACCACAATTTATTTGGTTTCGCGTGTGTCTTTTTTTTTAATAGCAAGCGCCACCACATAACAAGCTGTAGCCAGCTTAATTTCCTTTTGTTTGCTCATACCTAATGGTCAATTTTATTAAGTTGCAAGAATAACCTTCTGTGTAAACCAACTGAAAAGTTTCAACTGCAACACTTTTCTGAACTTGCACAAAAGTTGCAACACAATTGCATTGTTGTAAAACCGTAATAAGCAATGCAAGGCAATTTTAGATTGCATAGCACAAGCCTTGCATTGCACTAAAATTGCCTAATGTAAAGCGGCTATACTGTAAGATAGCGAAAACAAAACTGGCATGACGAAATTATGTTACCTATACTACACAAGTAATTAAACAATGGGTGTGTTCATAAGACAACAATTACTTAAAGTCACTAGATATAAGAAAGTACCGCAATCATCCGCCATTTTTTGGCAAATTTGCTGCCAACTTAAAAAAATTGACAAATAAAATCTGAATAGCTGTAATTTTTTATAACCTAACTTCATATGTAGTACTGTCATGTTTTATAAATATCTCCAAACAGGTGGAACAATCCCTAACATTAAAGTTACTAGAATCTGGTAACTTCCGCCATTTTTGGGCAAAAATTATGCGTTCTCTCTCTAACACGAGCCCAATGGATTGCGGTACTTTCTATATTTAGTGATTTTACAGTTACTGATACGTCTTATACTTACATCGTTACTTTTACTCTCTTTACGGAGTAGTCGGCCATCTTCAGTAGCGATACACATGGCAAAGTATGGATCGTGACAGAAGACCACAACTGTTACCGATACGCTACGAGTTAGCATATTGGTAACTATTGTGTCTTATGAATGAGCCTAAAATGGCATAACCTAATAAATCCTTATGATATAATAGGTTATGCGAAAGTATCACGTTGCTGGCTTGCAATTGAGACTAATCGCGACGTCATTATTTAATAACTAATTGACCGTCATTTATTAACTTTCATAATGTTAATGGAATCATATTATTATAATTTTCTGTTTAATACAAGTTTGCACATGTAGAGTTAAATACCTTTCTCTAATACGTTGTGTTAAGGTGAACCGCCTAACACAAACGAACTTTCATTTACACTCTTTGTGTTAAATTTGTTAGATATATCTACACCTAGTAAACTTTTATTAGAACGTGGACTTACTTCTTTCATAAAACCTCGTCTTACTTTGCACATGCCATGTTATAGTTTTCCAGCTTGTTAGATGCCTTCACTTCCAATTCAATTCAATTAATGAGAACATCTTTCAATAACCAACAAAATCTGGAGAGAAGTTATTATGGTAGCATTAATAATTGTATTTTAAGCTCTCTATAAACACATTCCTTGACAAGTCTTAAATCATATAAGGCAACCTTGTGTAAAACCTTTATTCAAATAATACTAGTACTTACATTACATTTCAGAAATAACTAATTACACTTATTACATAACCATCAATCGGGGCGCAATGTTCATGCTCATCAGTTCTTGGAATAATAATTTAGCAGCATAGGGTAAACGGATTTGAGATATTTGAGTTTTGTTTTTACATCCCTTGCACTCAAATGTGTTATTTCTCAAATTCGCAATGGCAATCAATCCACAGAAGTTACAGATATGAATGCGGTATGGGTCTGATACTTCAAAAAGTCTCTCCCTTAAAAATTGTGCAGCACCATGCGAAATTTGGCAATCCCGCTCCATCTCTCCGAAACGTAATCCACCATCACGGGCACGACCTTCCATAGGCTGACGCACAAGGATCTGTACTGGTCCCCTAGCACGCGAGTGAATTTTGTCGTCGACCATGTGCTTGAGACGTTGATAGTAAGTGGGGCCCAAGAAAATTTGTGCGTTTATTTTGCGACCTGTGTGGCCGTTGTACATAACTTCGTTTCCTCTCAAGTGATACCCGTACTCTTGAAGCAAAGTGGAAATTTTCTGTACATTTACGGCATCATTGAAAGGTGTCGCGTCACCAATTTCGCCTTTATTTGCGGATACCTTTCCTTGAATGCACTCGATCAAGTGACCAATCGTCATACGGGACGGGATAGCGTGAGGATTAATGATAATGTCAGGCGTAATACCTTCACATGTGAACGGCATATCCTAGAAATAGATATCAGTATTTAGACCTTTTCAGTTGAAAATTGATAGCTAAAACGCAAGAGGAAAGTTCTACAGTTATGCTATACATTTCTTCCAGTGCATGTAACATTAGAACACTTATTTCTTAAAAACCCTAAATTTGTTAAGTAACTATATAAAAAGATTTTGTAATTCTACTACCTCAAAATGAAAAAAAAAACAAGTTTTAGTGCGGTTCACTTACTTCTTGGCGATACTGAATACCGCAGGTACCTTTCTGACCGTGTCTCGACGCAAATTTATCTCCAATTTGTGGAATGCGCACTGATCGCACACGAATTTTACAGAATTTATATCCCTCAGAATTCAGTGTTAACATTACTTGATCAACAACACCAGTTTCACTGTTACGTAGAAAAGTTGACGCGTCCCGCTTAGAGAATTTCTTCGTAGTTCCGTCTAACTAAAATGAAAAGGTTTACACTGCAAGGCCGATAAAATTAAATTACCTCGTCGTCGTTTTCAGGAAGAGTCATAGTTTTACCAATTACAACATCATCTCCGGACACACGAATACCAGGGGAAATAATGCCATCGTCATCGAGCTTGTCATAGAGAGCGTTCCTCATGCCTTGGCAAGTTTGTCTTGTAGGTTTCTCAAATTGTTCCTCTTGATCGCCGATCCTTTTGCATTCTGAATCTTTGTACGAACGATAAAAGACAGATCTGAAAAAGCCTCTTTCTACGGCGGAGGCGTTCAAAATAACTGAATCTTCTTGATTGTAGCCCGTGTAACATGCGATCGCGACAATACTATTAATTCCAGCAGGTAACTCTCGAAACCGTAGATACTCCATAGAGCGTGTTGTAACAAGTGGTTTGTGAGGATAATATAACACATGCGCGAGAGTGTCCATACGAACGTGGAAATTTGTAATATATACACCCATGGCCTGTTTTCCCATAGCACTCTAAAAAAATAATTCCATTAATTGTGAAATAGCAATGTAAGAGCGGAATAATTTTGGCGTTGTAGTCTGCCGCGTAGTTAATATTTTTGCGTAGTAGATTTTGTTTACCTTACTGGCATATAAACCTGTTTGTTTTGACTGCCAAGGCCAATATTCATTTAAGCTACATTAATATTTGTACAAAAAACGGGTTTTCTTTAAAGACGTATTAACATTCTTTATTTGTGCGATTCTTAGAATTTGTTGCTTAAGGGTCACCAAGAAAAAGTACTAAAAATTTATCAATTTTAGAAGTGGGAGTTGAATTTTAATTTAAATGGGCATTTTAAATTTACTGCGCTGAAATAGTAGATTTTATGGTTTTAGCGTACAATTTTAGTTCCACTACTATCTCACAGATGGGTATTCAACGACACATTAGGCGTTTACGATAATTGGAGCGCTCCAGAGCGGTATGTATCGTATGCGTTCGTTAATTAAAGTTTGAAGATCTACCCGTGTTCGGCAATTATACCGAATGTATCCAGTACATGTATCAGATCCACAACTTATGGATCAGCTACATTAGTAGATACAGCCCGATACATCCAAAACATAACCTTCAAAGTGTTTGGTTATTCCGAATTTCACGCAAAGAAATATGAAAATGAACCGAGTCCGTTCGGTAATAACGGCTACCAGTAACGTTTACAGTGCATTTATGATTCTCAAAAAGGAGCTTATAAAGGGTTTTTCATTAAGAGTGCTCGAACTTGAAAATTAAATAAAAGAATAAAACAACCTGTTTTAAGTGATATTACCACAATTTTTATAATATTTTAAAGGATATTCGATGACATTATGTATGTAAAATAATTTCAGCCAAATGGCCCCCGCGACTCCGCTGTACATGTTGTATACTGGTGGACCAATTTTGGACATCTTCACAAGGTAATACCTCCCCACCATAATTTCACAAATTAAAATCACCCTCATTAAAATGCGCCCATAAAACAATTCGCACAGTACAGGGCGAGTCAACGATTGCGCGGAGTTACTTAATGCCCTGAAGCTAAGGTTTTTCGATAGAATGCTTTTGTATTATGATATGGTTGAATAATGTAGGGCGCCAAAATGGTACATTTTTTTAAATAGAACCCCTTGTATTTGAATGCATTTTTGAATTATACGTGTAATTGTACGACTTTTTTATTATATGGTTAATATCCGAAAAACTAGTAGTTTTAAAGGTAATTCGATTTGTAAGAAAAATAATATAAATATATTAACATAAATATATAAATATAAATAGATCTACTATGAAACATTAAAAAAAACAGAAAAATATACAGGGTGTTCCATTTAACAAAAGTGAGATTTTTTAACATGAAGTTTTGTAACTTTGGATCTACAAAAAAAATACCCTGTAAACTATTTCTTTAATGTTTCATAGTATAGATGTATTTATTTGACTTTTATTTAACCCAGGATAAAAGATATAAAGCCTGGAATCAAAATTTAAGTAATAATTTTGACAATATACTGACGCTTGTAAACGCTCAATTTTTCTCACAAATCGAATTATCTTTAAAACTACTAGTTTTTCGGATATTAACCATAGAATAAAAAAGGCGTACAATTATACTTAGAATTCAAAAATGCATTTAAATACAGGGGGTTCTATTTAAAAAAATTAACCATTTTGGCGCAATATAGGTACCATTTTGGCGCCCTACTTAGTGGGCGCACCCTGTATAATTCCAAATATTTTTAAAATGTGGAGAATATTCAACCATATCATAATACAAATGCGCTCTACCGAAAAATCTTATCTTCAAGGCATTAAGTTACTCCGCGCAATCGTTGACTCACCCTGTACTTTCAGATACAAAAGTTCTATAATGAAAAGCCAAAAGCTATGGATTTTTTATGACGTCCCGTTTTTTAGCGCATTTTTGTAAAGCTTTTAATCTTACTTCGGCTGGCTTGCTGGCAGTAAATGCGATCCCGTAGGAGAACGCTTGTAAAGAGCCTAAGAGTGTGAGGTACCTATATCGGACCCATATAGTAACAACTTTAGGGACGGCGCTACAATATGTGGGGTCGGCGACTACTGAATGCCATCCTATCGCCATCGATCTAACCTGGAGATTTTTCAGTTTCTTTCTATCTTCTCCTACAGTTTTTCTTCGATTGTTTTCAAATAGGTGTCGTCGGAAAGATCTTGTCAACGCGCACAACTCCTGCGTGATGAAATTTTGTTTTTTTTCCTAGGGGCGAAATAAACCCCCTTTTGTACGGCGCGCTTCGAGGGGTAGTCGACTTTGGGCGCCCAAAAGTTTTTAAATCTCGAATCGCGGTTTCTCTTTCTCCTGTCGCCATTAGAACCTCGAGCTATGAGTACTTAGTACCCAAAAATTGAGTACTATTTTGTGCCGGGTTTTTAGCGAAATCCACCAAAATGCGAATTGCGAGCGAACGGGACGTCGGAACTGTATACCGAAAAAGAGAATGTGGTAACCCCCGACAAGATCTTACTGATGGTGGAGTCAAAACTTCAAACGCGAATTGCGGATGCACGCGAGAAATGGAAAGCGGGTACCGACAATGTGAATGTGGTGACCTTCGACAAGATTTTATTGATGGTGGAGTCAATATTGGCTAATAAAACACTGATCTGCCACACAAAAATGCGCTGAAGCCCCGTCGATATCACACGAGAACTCGCCGCCTCTATGTTCCCTCTCAATGTTTGTTGGTTGGATTTATCAACACAAGTGATAACGTTGTCTGTTGCCTGGTTTATAGATTTTATTTTCTAATTCGCGAAACTAACGCTCTCTGTTGCCGATTCAGCGGCAAGAAATGGAAATTTCCCCACTTTAATAACAAAGGAATAAATGTTCACTTATCCATTTCAGATGCCTCATTCCCATTTACTAACTTGTATTTTTCTTCCAGCAGGATAATTAGGAAAATAAGAATCATTTTGTTAATATACAGCAAGAACAGAAAAAAAAAGAATCCGATCCCCAAACATAAAGATAAGAGTAGTTGCATATACTAATAGACTCTCAATTCAACATTATTTCATTCCTTGTTCATACCACATCTTTACTCTTTGACACAGTATCAGGTTAGCATACTATTACTTACTTGGTAAGTGTTTCTCGGGCTTTGGTTGTGATCCGGGAATGGAATGATAGAAGCGCACACTCCCAAAATCATTGCCGGATGAATTTCACAGTGTGTATATGTAGTACAGTAAGCGTAATCTTTCTCCTGCCGTAAATCATCTGGGGATATGGCAATCATAACGGTTTCCTCTTCAAGGGTATCGATATACTCGACAACACCCTGTGCCACCAACACCTGCCAACCGTAGTTGTTATACTCGCGCTCCTTCAACATATCAATATGGCGTTTTTTCAACAAAAGCTGCCCATTCTCGACGATTAGCAAAGGTCTACAGATTCGCCCGGCATCTGTATAAATACGAATCTCCCGATCGCGAATATCACGGATCATTGACACTTCGGACACAATGATGTCCATCTGGCGACGTAATTTTCTTAAAGTTGACATCAATTGCTCAGGATCTCGATGAATACCAACCTAAAACCTAAAAAATAGCTAACTGTACTAGAAAACATTGCACTCACCCAACAGCCGTTCACAAAAATCTTTGTAGCATCTGCAATTGCCGACGGTGCAATTTCCTCCAAATTTTCCATCGACCATTCCTCCAAAAACTCCAAGATTGGCGATGGTTGAGACCCGACAGAAATGTAAGCCATTAAGGCCAAATTTTTCACCAGACCTACGGCGGCACCTTCGGGCGTTTCGGCGGGACATATCATTCCCCATAGTGTATTGTGTAATTGACGCGGTTTCGCCAACTTTCCGTCTCTTCCTATGGGCGAATTGACGCGTCGTAAGTGAGAGAGGGTGGAGGCAAAGGTTAGACGATTCAATACTTGAGATACGCCCGCTCTCGCTTGATGCGCTTTCTTTTGATCGCCCCAATTGCCGGTAGCCAAAGAGTAACGTAACCCATCTGTTATAAGCTTTGTCTTTATGGCAAGGTCTAGGTTAAAGTCTTTGCCACGATCAATGAATTTTTGCGCGTACATTCTCACTTCTTTCATAAGATTCTTGAACAGCCTGTAAAACACAATGATTGGTAGGCACAATTGTCACTATCAATAAATATTTTTAGCCACTAATACTTATAGTTACCGCGAGTGTTATTAATCTCGGCAAAAAAAAAATAATCTACTAAAAAGAGAACAGATGAGTTTCTTCAAAACTTGTACCGATTGGAATAATGATAACCATCTTTTTACTTCTCACACATCGCTTCGCGTTTTATTTAGCGAAGTGTCTAGTCCACAAATAAGAGATTTACTTCTGCATATGCGCGCACTTGGTTTTTCACATGTTAATAATACTTAATCGATGAATTTGCCTTTATTTTATAGTGAGCTTTTAAAAGGTGCTACTGTTGAAATTTCAGGATCGGTCTACAAATAAGAAAGTTACATGCGCAGAAGGATATGCCCCACACCTGTCTGAAAATTAATAGGTGTGTCTGCAAAAATGTATGCAATTTGGTTAACAAGCTGCACAACAACAAAGGACTTTTTTCTGTGATGAAAACAATACTTTACCTACCCATATACAGGGTGTCTTAAATTGAGTAGGATAACATGGCTATCTTTGTTATTATTATACTTACAGATTCGGATTTAAACAAATTGTTTATATGGCATTCCCTAAAATCACTATTAAACAAAAAGGTAGAAATATAAATTCAAATAAACCTTGGATAACCGCAGATATTATGGAAAGTTACCATACAATAAAAATGACCAATGATCATGACCTACGTACTTTTTACCAAGATCAACGAAAGAGGCACCGCGCAAACGGATAGCTGCTGCCAAACGTAACTATTATAGTCATTACTTTGAGAGATGCAAAAATAGAAGCAAAGCTGCTTGGAAAATTATAAACAATGAAATCAATAATCAGAATAAAGAGTACCCCCATAAATTTAAAGATGCACATGGAGGTTCTTTAGTTGATAAAGTAGACACTGCCAAAGCGTTTAATGCGTTCTTCATTGAATCAATACATGACCTCACAGGCGCTAGTTCGGACAATCAATCTAAACCTAGGTTGTCCACCAATCCTAATTCTTTGCTTCTGTTTCTAACTGACCACGTTGAAATCCGTGCTATCATTCAAAATGTACAGGGTAAACACACGGCTGGATTTGACTAAATCCCATGCTCATTATTGTATGTAATCAAGGAGTCAATCAGTCCTACTATCGCATACCTATGCAACGAGTCACTCAGGGAAGGTATCTTTCCCGACCTTCTTAAACATATGCTGGTTATCCGCATACATAAAAAAGGTCGAACTGATATGCTCAATAACTATAGAGGTATAACTATAGTTTCAGTTTTCTCAAACATTTTCGAGAAAGTGTACTATACGAGGCTTCTTAGTTTTATTAACGCTTGTAAGATACTGTCTCGAAACCAATTTGGATTTCGCAAGAACCTTTCAACTGTACATGCGATATTGAATGTGTTCTCTTATATTTTAGAGCACACGGATCGCAATGAATCAGTAGTTGGTATTTTTTACGATTTCACCCGTACTTTCGAGACTGTCAATCATAAATTGCTACTAAACAAACTGTATGAATATGCTGTTAGAGGTATCGCTGCCGACTGGTTAAGCTCATACCTGGTAGGAAGAACTCAGGAAGTGAAAATGGTTTGGCAAGGAGGAGTGGTTAAGACAAAAAAGTGGTGTCACATGGTGTTCCTCAGGGCAGTACGCTGGGACCCCTTCTATTCATTATTTTTATTAATGATATATTTAATAATAATAATCAAAGTTTTTTAACGTTATTTGCTGATGATACGTCTAGTATAATCACCGGTAACGAGCCAGACACCCTGTGTAGCCGTGCCAACGAGAGTGTCATGGAAATCAGCAGGTATTGTGCAGATAATGGGGTTTTCTTGAACTGGAATAAATCTCAAGCGATTCAATTCTCAAAAAGTGGTCTTAATACCAGTCTCCCAATTAGACTAAATAATCACACTATCAGGCAAAGCGATAGTATAAAATTTCTTGGGACTCCACTTGGACAACAATTTCTCTTGGAATACCCAAATAAACACAGTTATTAAGAGGTTAGCTACTCATTGTTACTTAATTCAACAACTAGACGATGTTGTTCACTATGACTGTCTGACTTCTTACTACTATGCTCATGTCCAGTCTACTCTTAATTACGGTATTATTTGTTGGGGTACTAGTTGCAGAATGAACGAGGTAATGATTAGCCAGAAGAGAGTTTTAAGAGCCATGCATGGTAAACCAGCATGGTATTCATGTAGAGAACTCTTTATACAATCTAATATACTTACAGCTGTATCTTTATTTATTCTTAACAATCTTGTATTCATACATAGTAAGAAAGATCTACATCAGCCCGACTCGGTAGTTAATAATGTTAATCTAAGAAACAAGCGGAATTTGAGAATACCCAAGCACAACCATGCTTATATTGCCAATCATTTTTCCGCCATTGCCATTAAACTTTGGAATAAACTACCGGAAAACGTAAAATGTATCCATAATCCATCTAGGTTTAAACAAAGTATAAAAAACATGTTGGTAAAGATGTGCATTTATAGGTTAGACGAATACTTGAACAGCGTATTTTTATTTATTTTTTACTTATTTATAATTTATACTTAATCATATAATTTGTAATTTATAATTTTGACGTTCCAATGCTTGTATACAAGTCTCATGGAATAAACGGTATTATTATTATTATTATTCGGTTAAATTGGCAAAGTTGTGTAGTTTTTGATGCTAATGGATATTCCGATACAATATTTTGAAAAAAGTAATTCGTTTTGTAGATAATTGGAAAAAAGTGAAAATTGCTATTTTAAAAAAGTTCAAATATTTCAGTAACAAAGAGAGCTATCGAAAAAAGTTTCAAATAAAAGTTGCAAGATCCGATGGGATAAATTCAATGGACCTAGAAATAAAATTTTCAAAATGGCGGATTGCGAGATATTGACATCAATTTCCTTATTTTAAATGGACGCCATATTGGATTTTTAAGTCACTCGATAGACAAAAACCAGTGATACTGATACTAAACACTTAGTATTTCATTTGGGAATCAACCTTGCATTTTTGCCTCGAAGTTTACAATGTATTTCTTATGGCAATAATTCCATGGCTGATTGTGATTGAAACCAAATTCGTTCGTTTATTGTCTCGCATAGTCACCCTCGACACGTCCCTGGAATTGTTGCCATAAGAAATACATTGTAAACAAAAATGTAACCAGTGCAGTTGGTCCCAAGTAGCGTTGATAGCCCCAATAATCGTGATTAGTGAGATGGCTACTTTTCCTAAGCGATTTTCACATAGAACCGACCAAATGAATGACTATTTGCATATGTTACTTTAATTTATATTTTTTTAAGTAACGGTGACACAATGCTCACTGCAGAATTTTAAAAGTAGGTCAACTTTCTAGGAACATTGACATACATAAGTTTGGAACTACCCATCGACTGCATTCACTTACAAGTTATTAAAAGTGATAAAGAGGGAGTCGCAGTTACTCCTGCAAATCACCCAAGTATTCCTTTACAGTCGAGTCTCTAATTCTAGTGACTTCGGTTGAACCACACTTAAAACATTAAAATTATGGAACTTAGAACAGGTGTACACATGTAACTCTAGGTATTGGTGACTCATGGGGGTGGAGCATATAATGAACGTTTTGGAGGGTAAGAGTGCCATGGTGGATAACTATGATTGAAGAAAAGTGTAGGATGCTAACAGTAAAAAACACGTTATTTAAAATTATACCATCACCTACCCTCTGAATAAGAATGCAAGTAAAGGTCCGGCCAAATCCAAACGTTTATTGCCGTAATGATCTCTGTCGTCCAACTCACGACGACCTAAAGCAGCAAGTAACAATCTGTGAACCATATACCTAAAACATTGGTAAAATATAAGATTCTAACAAAAAAAAAGCTAATTACCCCAAGAAATAAGCTTTTTTTGTCTCACAGAAATCAGAAACGCCAACATGTGGCAACATTTCCTTCTGTAAAATTTCTCTAGCATATTTAATACGTTTCTCTTTAGTGACACCCGGCCTTGCCCCTCTTGCACCGATGAAATTTAAAGCGACATTCTGTTCTTGAATAACAAAGGCCTCGTCTAAAGACGGTTTAACCATTTCCATCATCTCGGGATCCTCAAAGTCATAAATGATATGCTCCAATATATCTCGATCGGCCACAAAACCGAGTGCACGAAATACGACCATGACCGGAATTTCTTGTTTGATATACGGTAAAATTGCGATGATCCGTTGACCGATGGCCGCCTTCTTTATGGCCTGACCACCTCTCGCCATCATGTTGACCCAAAGTGTCGATGTGGGACGGGAACTATGTTCCAAACATGAGCGAATTTCCGATTTGAAGGCATATTTCCCGTCCTTCATTGCAAATACATAAACAGTGTTTGTTGCCATTTTCTCCTGCGCAATTAAGACTTTTTCTGAGCCGTTAATAATAAAATAGCCACCAGGATCTAAGGGACATTCGTTAAGTTCCATTAAATCACGATCAGTTAATCCGCTTAGTAGACAATATGTGGAACGCAACATAATGGGAATTTTTCCTGAAATGAAAGTACAAATATACAACCGAAAGCAAATGGGTGATCCTACCAATGAATGTTTTTTGATGTTGGGTCTCTATGGGATCTTCGCCATCTTTTACTATTGTTTTTGTGATATCAACGTATAAAGGGGCAGAATAGGTTAAGTTACGTAGCCTGGCTTCGTTAGGCATCATAGGCGAAGGTGCACCGTCTTTTTCCCAATGTGTAGGCTTAGAAAGGTAAATTTGTTCAAACTTTAACAAGTACCGAGGCTAAAATACGATACACGTAAGTAAATCAGTTGAAATTGAGTTAAACAGCGTACAGGGTTTTCGACTTCACCACTTGTGTGTTGTGCTTCTGCTTGAAGATCGATCTGTGGCGAATCTTCGACAATCCGTTGTACGGACATTTGAATAAATTCGTCGAAACTATCAAGCTGCTGTCGAACCAGGCCCTTTTCGTCAAAGTATGCGTTAATAACGATCCAGCAGGCTTCCTGCCACAATTCCGAACTGATTTCTTCGGCGTCCTCATCTTCGAACTGATCTAAAATTTGAGGTTACGTTGAGAGATGTTCCTTAACACTGCTAGTTAAACTTACCTTCATCTTGTTCATACATATTGTTTATTACAAGTAATTAAATCTTGTTAAATGAGCTAATTTTCCTCCGTATCTTGGACAAATAATCACCTACTTCTTCTACTGTCCAACCGAATCAACCTCATCAAAACATGTCAAAACTCATAATAAATATAAAAGTGGCTCCCTCTGTATGAAAAATGGAAGTGGTAATGACGCCTTTGCCTTTACTTAAATAATATTTTAAAATTAACCCCAATTGTAACGTGGCCGACTGGTGGTGATTGTTCCACAATGCTAAAATATCAAGCTATTAAAAAAAACGACAAAAAAGATTTAGGTCTAACTATATTGGTAAGGCTACCACAGAATTCTCACTCCCGGATGCGATCCCACTACTGTTCGACACGGGGACTTTTGGCTGCTGGGTTGCCCCCCTGGCCCGGTGCGCCCCTCATTATGCAACCTGGACACCCCAAACTTCTTCGGGGTCTCCATATTGATGCCAAGCTTAGTGCGGACATCCAGTCAACGTGAGGAATACTGCGATAGTGGTTCCCCACCGCAAGTCATCCACTAAACCTGACCCCTAGACGCTAGGTTACAGGAGTGCGCCACGCTCCCAGTCGAACGATGTTGTATTTGTAATGGCTTATCTAGCACAAATTCTGTACTAAAATTGATAGTAATATTTTAAACAATGATAGTAGGTACCTACCCATCTATGTGATTGTTATAACATAATTAAATTGTATTGTTATTAAATTGTTACTGCGATAAATATATGGTACTTATACAGGTTTTTTTACGCAAACCGTTACCTAAAAGTATTCAGGCTATCATTGATAATTTAGATCTGAAAATTTGCATAGGTAGCAAATTACCAACATAGTTTTTCACGATCTATTGAAAAAAATATTGTTTCTCTTCCGGTTCTACCGGATATGGATAGCAACTTTCTTATTTTAAATAGAACACCCTGTATTTTATTGCATTTTCCTCTTTTCAGTCTTGTCCACTCAACTCTAATTATACATAGTATTACTAGTCTGGGCCCTCCTAATATAAATAAGTATAGTATTAGTATAGGTAATAAATAGCAGTTAAGAAACTAGAATGTAAGTAGTTAACAAAGGACCTATTCTCGTCTAGGCATTTTATATTTTTCGTTAAGGGTAATTTAATTAGAATACTGACATAAGGGATTATTTACTGTCTTTGTTTTAACTAAATGTTATATGAAACCCGTCTGGGTAGCAGGATCGGAAGGGTGTGTAAAACTAGAGTTTAGTCTTAATTGTAGCCACGATAGAGTTGGACCGATTATTTTGTAAATCGTAATAAATTGATTGGAGTGAAACTTATTCGTATTTTATTTCATAAGTGTAACAATATACATCAGTGGTCCTGCCCTATGACTTCGTTAACTTGGATTTCAAAAAAAAGTTTTCCAAAATCAACAAAACCGACTTGACGGCTGCATGAAAATGATTTAAATTTTGATCGTCCTTGGGCGTTTTAAAATTTTAAAAACTGAGGTGGATTTTTTCCAATAAAACGTGTTTTATTTTTTGCACTTTCAAATGTGGAAAAAAATTCTGCATTGATCATTAAATTACACTCTCTATACCTATCTGTTATGCTTTCCGTTTTATTTTAGATTTTCTAAAATTGTAACCGTTATGCAACATTTCCCAAGGACGCTTTGAAATAAAAGCGTTAGTAGACCTGTCAGACAAATCTTTTTACTATTAACGATTCGTTATGGTAGTTTCACTAAATACTTGGTATAATAAAAAAACTAAATATATGAAAAGAATCCTGTATAACAAACAGAAACAGGTAATAATATTAAACGACAAAATAAAAAACAAACAGTAATTGAGGTTTTGTACTACTAGTAGGGGAGCTAGCTCGAAATCCATTGAACGAGTGATCAAAATTTTAACCGATGGAGTTCCACTTTGCCATATCAGAGTATGCTAAATCAACGGCCGTCTGCTGTACCAATTCTAAATTGTTGTTTTTTGAGAAAATAAGTTATACACCTAATGAAAATGATGATAATAGTTCTTAAAAAAATATTTAAAAAAACTCCGTAAAAAACAAATCTTAGTCCGTTGTTCACGAACTTTCTACCGATATAGGTAACTAGGTTACGGTTGGATGAATGAAGCTAATTTTTTTTACAGACTGGATAGGTAGGTAATTGTTTCTTTTTTAAATTTTTCCTCTAATTATAAGATTATATATGTTATTATTGATTGATCATCAAGTTTCTTAGAATGACAACATTGATCATAAATCTAAAACTGTTTCTGTATGGCTATTGTGGGGTTCCACAAGGTCTTACGTTAGCAAAGAGATGTTAGGCACTTTGCTATGCATCCTTTTCGCATTTGAGTCACAATTACACCATGAATATCTTCGTTTAATCTAAAGACCAATGACCATTATTGTTTCCCTAGGCCCCTCGCGGTTTAATTACTGTGGTGTTATGGCGTATGGACCTTGGATGGCGTTGACAAATAGAATATAAAATTTGTGTCTTAGATTTATTTATGATTGACAAATCTCTAATAAATTATCCACCTATTATAATTCAAATAAACTGGTATTCTGGATACAGGGTATCCCATATTTAAAGGTCCGCCCTGTAATAGCAGAAACAGAGTATACACCCCACCGGTTATGTTTATTTTGCACTAAACTGAAAACAATATACGGAAATAAACAACTCAATTCCTCAAAACCTTCCAAATGGATATTTAATTATTGACGAACAGATTGTGAAATGTTACGACATGTTTCGATTGTTAATCATCTGCAGGTAACAAATTATATGTACGGTGCGTGAGAAAATGACATTATTGAAAAGTTGTTGAAATCTTGACGTTACATTATTGAAGTTTTGACGTTACATTGAAATATTATAAGTAATAAATTAAATTATTTAAATTAGATTTTGAGTTAACGGACCATGGTGAGGAGGATAGATTTAAACGTAGAATAACATATAGTTGATGTAAAATAACTTTTCATTAATGTAATTTTCTCACGCACCGTACATACAGGGTGGTGCACGGAAAGTAGGAACATAGGGATTTAACATGGGAAATTAGTTTTATGCAAAATCCTGCCCTCCTGTACATTTTACAGAAAAAACTGTAGAGTTTCTGTTCAGTATTAAAAGATGACTACAAAACTGTTTTTACATGTTTTATTAAGCTTTTCGTATACCCTCAAATTTCAACGTTTCTGTTATTAATGGCAATAGGGAATATACATGTAATTTTTTAAATTTTTTAATCGCTTTTTTACATCGTTCTAACATAGTAAAAAGAGTAAATACTGTTAGAACAATTCAATTTAACTTGTAAAATAATATTTAAAACGTTGACTTTATTCGATGTGTTTAAACGCCGCCACATTTTCAGCGGGCCTTGGATGACGTCACAAGCCACGACCAGCTGTATTTGTTTACTTTTAGTGTTGATTTATTTAAACAGATTTTCGGTTGTAATCTCAGAGTTTATTTCTTACTCTGAGGTTGTAATAGCTATTCAAATACATGGAAAAAGCTAAAAAACCATTTCATAGGTATTGTCTTGTACAAAAGTGCAAAAACACTTGAGAGGTTCCACCCTGTATATACAACTTACGACGATACATACATTTTGGAGAGTTGGCAACCATGCAATTTCTAGGTGGGAAAAAAGTTGCATGCGCCACCTAGAGAGCACGAACGGGAGTTACGTTTGGCATCTTGTCTTGAATGGCGGTCGCGAACGTTTCGCTCCATAAATGTTTGTTGTTATTTTGTGTTATTTAATGCAGGTAGTAATTTTTGCATTTCTTTATATCGTATTTGTGTTTTGTTTGCCTCATTTTATATTTTTTGTGTGTTTCAATATTTGTTTTTGAAATTTACTTGGTTTAACCGCAATGCAATCATATGTGTGATACCGTTATGCTATTGTTTGTAATTGTTTACGTTTTTGGTGTAATGTTTGCTTAATTTATGTTTATTGATGTTGATTACTTGGTTTTGTCCCTGAAGTTACATTCATGTAAGTTTTCATTTTATTTTAATATGTGGAAATTGCTGATTCGTTTGATGTATGTACTGACTTGTTGTTTGTTACTAACAATTTTCTCCGTGAATGAAGCAGTCACGGGAGGTGGAAAAAGAAACTGTAGTCTATAATTATGTGTTAGGGCACCTAATTCCGTGCACTGTCTTCGACATCCAACTGTAGGTTCGAAACCCCGAAACCAGGGGCGGACTACCCATCTTGCAGGAGCGAGATTACGCTAATCAAAGCTCTTCAGTTTAGAATCTATGTGCGTTAAATGAGTGGCGATTCAATAATTTCCACATATGTTTTTAGTCAAATTTGCCATGTAATTTTCCATCTTGCTTTCAACAAAAGGACTTTATTGCACCAAAGATGAGTCACATCCTGTGTATTTCACCCTTTCTCAGAATCTTGGTACCTGCTCCTACCTGACCCATTGTCCCCAAAAACTTGCTTTAACCTTGAGTGTAACCAACATTGTGTATATGCATTTACTATCTTTGTTAACTACTGCTTAAACTTTTACAAAATATTTTATTAATTAACTTTTGGACTGTTTTAATCAAACTGCAAGGTTTTTCTTACGTCGTACTCTTTTTATCCTTGGCAGTGTCTTTTGCGAGAGTACGACACCTTTTGGCTTTGTTTGTTTTGTTTATATTAATGTACATCAACTAAATTTCCGGGTTTTCACAATCATGATAATTACGATCATTATTAAACAAACTTTTTACCATTTCAGTGTTTTATTTAACGTTCCTTCCCTACTGTGCTTCAGGTCAAAGCGTTATCTATAACTAACGTAAGGGGGGCCCTGCCTTAGATGTTTTATCACGTGCCACTTTTCAAATTTAAGCGGGATCTTGTTTAGTTTTAGAGGGTATAGTCATTCGGGTGACCATTTTTAAACGTTGCCAGGTTTATTTTATTTCCGTGTTCTTGTAGTGTGAAGTTAGCGTAGAACCTGGGGGGTTAAGTACACTACACACTATTAGAAATATTCCCGATAAAGTGTATTTTGCAGTTCCAAAAGGACAACTTCCAGAGCGTTCTCAATTTTTTTACAGTTAGTGAACCCTAAAACAACCTTTTTCAACAATTGTGCCGTTGATTCTTGCAAATCGACGGACTATGCAATTTTGTTTCAAAATCCGATGAATTTTCTTAGTTAACAAGTGGAATAATTTCCAAAATACTATAGGTACCACAAGAAATGTAAATCTATAGTAGGCGAATGGAAAGCTCTCGGAAAGACCTACATTAAACAAATACGTCCAAATCAGAGTTCACGGGGAATCATCTTTTGACTTCCGACTTGTTTTCGACACAATTTTGCAAATCGGGTCGCATCGAACGATTCTTTAAAGGGTGAGCTTTTTAATGCTTCTATTTTACCAAAATGTATGATTTTTATTAATCAGAACGCCAAGGGGCTATTATAGAGTTACCTTCCTAATTCCTTGTTATACAGGGTGGCGCAAAAAGAACGCATGGATTTTAAATGGCTATAAGTTGTTAATTAATAAATCAAAGTAAAATAAAAAACCTATAATTTTTATTGTTTTTCTATGGGCTATCGATTTCGCCCATAGAAAAACAATAAAAATTATAGGTTTTTTATTTTACTTTGATTTATTAATTAACACGACAAAGCCTATCATGGAGTTCTACATAAATCACGGCTATAAGTTGGTTAATTTTAATCACACCAAAATTTTAATTACACCAAAACAATCATCAAACAACCCAATTTGAGAGTTGGGTGTTAATAATTATAAAACACTTAACTAATTTTGTGTTGCGATCAGGTACCGAACAATCATTACGCGCGACATTAAACTGTAAACGAAATTTTCGTTGAACAGTGATGACAGATTCATTTGATTTGAAATAGTGTTCAACAGCGAACACTCGATGCTGCACGTTCCACTGCTCCACTGCTACTAAAACTGGACGCTCCAACCAACAAAATGGAGTCGCTCGGCGGTCACTGACCGCTCCCCTCCACTGGTACTACGTTACTCAAATACATGCGTTCTTTTTGCGCCACCTTGTATTTCGGGAGTTATTCAATTTGTTAGTTATAACTAAAAAAAATTCCACAGTCCATCAATTTGCAAGAATCATCGGGACAATTTTTGGAAATGGTTGTCTTAGGATTCCACCATCTGTAAACAAATGTAGAACGCTCTGGGAGTCACCCAGTTTAAAGGACTAAAGACTATCGTTTTGTAAATTTGTTTATTAATTATGCAATAACTATCAAATCTACGGTGATCGGGTTTGTCATATTATTTTGTTATCAAAAGAAGTGACCAAATACGGCTTTTCAAAAAGATCGGATGAATTTTACTTAGTAATAACCAATTGATCATCTTCGGGGTTGTTTTTTTTATATTTTTCCATAAAAAACAATAACATTTGAAAATGAACGTTTCATACCCATTATATCTTATAGAAAATTCAATTCTAAACCAATTCATTTCTCTTCATTTTTTCCCTTAGAGTAATAGTTAACGAGATAATTGAAGTCAAATGCCACAAGAAACGACATCTTGCCATTTTTTCATCGGTTTTTGTTTATACATAACAATATATTCCGGGAGTTTTCGGCTAGGGGGACTATGGTTTTCGGATTCAGCGGATCTTTTTACATAGAAGACACATTATTTCGTTGAGTGAAATGACAACACCCAGCTCAATCTGCCCAAACTGTAATTTGACTGCACTAAGTACTTATGAATAATGACACAACAAAATTGCGATCGCGTTACTTTCATTCGTCCAATAGTGAAGCGTTTCGCAAATTTGAATTTCGTTCGCTTATTTTGCACTTTTGAATTAACATTTTTAGCAATTAAAAACAAACTAAATAAGAAACTAATGGTTTAAGTATAATGTCAGGACAATAAATATTTGCTGGAGAAAGAATCAAGTAAATTTAAACCACATGCATATTCCCTATTCATAAAACAACAAATGTCATGGCTATTGCAACTAATAACAGAAATGTTGAAACTTATTTTTAAGTTTGCGGGTATACGAAAAGCTTAATAAAACATGTAACAGTTTTGTATGCATCTTTTAATTATGAACAAGTTTGAACTCTACAGTTTTTTCTGTAAAACGTACAGGAGAGCAGGATTTTGAATAAAACTAATTTGCCATGTTAAATCCCTAAGTTCCTACTTACCGTGCACCACTCTGTATAATTTACCTGAAGATGATTAACAATTGAAACATGTAACGTTTCACAATAATATCTGTTCGTCAATAATTAAATATCCATGGGGAAGGTTTTGAGGAATTGACTTGTTTATTTATGGTTCATCACCCCATTTAGAGTATGGATCAACCACGAGTTTTTTCTGAACAATATAAGGTTAGAGATGACACTTTTTTACCTTCAAAAGCTGCTATAACTTGAAAACAAAGTAATATGTTTATGGAACAATTTATGCTTATTTTGAGGTGCTGTCTGCTATTACATGGTGGATCTTTATTTGGGTTACATTGTACCTAGGATACGTGTGCGCGCAGCTACCTTATGCCATAAAATAATAAGTAGAGAATCACTTATTATCTTTACGACAAGAATTACTTATGAAAATCATACATCATGTAGGCACAATAAAAATCGAGGATCATAAACATTAACGGAAGGTGGTTCTGTGCAAATGTAGATAAATCAATTTGATGAGAGATGCTTTTTTTTATCTGACACCTTCGAAAATAATAACACTTTACCTACTTTGACTCTTACTGATAACAAAACGGTATATTTTAGCGCATTATAATAAATTAAGGTAGGTAGATTGTAAATTATGTACAAAATTACAATTTGTTACACTTAAAAACTGCGTAAACCTTAAACACAAGACTGGATTAAAATTACAAAAACTAAACTAATTTGTGATGCAGAAAATTTATAGGAACCACTTCCAAACCACCCAAATCGCGATTCTGGAAGAAAATATTTGGTTATTTGGGCAGACACTGATATTAATGTATATTTACTGTTGTCGTTGGGATCCTTCTTGCCGCACTGTTTGTAGGATATCTTCACTTTTCGTTTTGTATCAATAAATCCATGTATATACAACGATGGGGAATCCAATCTACCTGTCGAAATTAGCCTGCTAAAGTCCTGCTCCAGTTTATTAGCGATAGGTCCTTTGAAATGCAACAGAATCTGCATGCAGGCTCCTCCGTGTAATATTTTCGTTTGTCTTGAATCTACAGTTAACATCCATTCTGGAATGCCCATTACTTTGCAAACGTCTTCTATAAATTGCGCTCTGAAAGGGTTATTTTGACGCGTGTAAAGCGGTGATAAGGGGGGACTTACAGTACAAATCTTGGGGGTTTGTCAATGTTGGCGTATTTGATTATGTCATAATCTGGTTCGATGTTGGCACAAGCGTAGCGTTCGGGTTGCTTATTTGGGCTTAAAATTACAATGGATCGGCCGATTGCGCTCCACTGGCCCTCTAAAGGAAAATTGGTATCAACCACAACCGACCTTCTGAGCCCTAAGTCTATTGTGCCGACTCTGGCTGACACGTCACCAACGTAACACCTTAGTGGATTATCCGGGCCACACTCTTGGCGATATAATTCGGTCTATAAAAGGAACAGCTAGTAGGAACTTAGTGGACTGATGAATAACTTACATTTAAAGGATCTGCCAGTTGTGTGTAGTAAGGATTCCACACGTATCCTCCAGCCACGCATCTGGTGTTTTGAGTTTTCACAGCTGCATCAACGCCCACTGGGTTGACATAAATCGCCCAGTGATGATCTCGAGTCTGCAAGATCAAGATGTAAACGTTATCAATCCTAGTGAATCATACAATATTGCTGTCGTGCTTTCCTGGGTGTCGTAGATTGATTTCAATTATGGTATCGCTTTGGCTGCCGTCACTGTAAATTAGTTGCTTCTGAAATGGAATTCTACATTTAACCGTCGGATACTTATGTATTTACACAAACCATTCGCATGTATCCGTACGCATGCCCTTGGGGGTGATGGAAAGACGCAATTGCCCTAATCTCCCTTGCTTCGGAGGGACTGTATCCACGCTCGATTGTTGTACAAGCCCATCTGCTACCTTTAACCTGCACAGAATGTTCAGCAATTCGTCAATTTCAATCATAATCGCATCATATACCCTTTTTTCGACCACAATAGATCGTCCCAAAATACTCCGCGGACCAAAGAGTGGCAACATAGTGTCATTATAATCTTGTTTGAAAATTGTATGATTATCTAAAGTACCAAACTTTCCACTGAGATCGCCCATTTCATACTGATCGGGAGTTCCGTAATAATTTTTTGGTGATGACTTGGAATCCACATTTAAAGGATTCCAATGATCATAAAGGGTCGATGCTTCGCACGGAAATTGCAAATTTTCTTGTATTGGAGTCTGTAACGAAAACTAATGAGCAGGGAAAACTATGCGGTTCTCACTTACAATGTGCACATGGTAACCTCTGTTATCTTGCAGACCTGCTAGTGAAACCTCAACGTTTGTTATGTCATGTTCAGTTTGCTGAAAGAACTCGATTTTGCCTTGAATTGTTGCCGTAACGTCCCCGTTCGAAAACCAATCCTTCGCCACAGCTTTCCGCCTGTAAATTGCTCCAATTCTGTAAAACACGACGTTATTTAGAAATCAGGACCATTTAATTGAACACACTTTGCACAAGCGAGCCTTTCGCCTCTTGCTTTCGGCCCGAAGTCATCGTATAGGACGATTGATTTTCCCACAATTGAATTGGGACCGTTAAGCGGCAGAAGCTGGTCAGTGAATAATTTTCTCGAGATCCTTTCGCTGTTCGCCTTTGTTCCGGAGATGTCCAAATTGCCAAGTCTCTTGGATAAATCGCCCGCCCTGCAGTATCCAATCGTATCCGTGCTGCAATTGTTAATTGATGATTTGTTGTCGAAATCGACCTAAAAGTAGAAACCGTTAGACATTGAAAAGGTAGGCTAAAACAACCTTGTATGGATTGTACACCAAACCTGCGCTGACGCATCTGGCGGTCCAGTTATAGAAATCCTTGCCAGGTGGAAATTCGTGAATCGCCCAGCGGTGGTCGAGTGAGTTGTTAACTTGAGAGCCATCGGCGTGTATGAGATACTCGGTTAAAATCGAGGTGTCTGACCACGGTTCATCTTTTGGCTGCCTAAATAGGATTTTGGCAACAATTGGGTAGCGGATTAGAACTTCTGCTGTGAACATCTGCTTCTGGTACTTAAAGTTTTGTTCATAAAGCACTATGGCACCACATATCCAAGGTTCTGGCATGATGGCGTACGTTGGATACTGGGTGTTCCTGTAGTTTGAGTTAAGGGAAACCACGCCATAATCGGGTATACATACTTGTATATGACCAAAGATCTATGAATGACAGAGAATTGTCCCTGCAACGGTAGAAATACATCCCAATACTGCCCACTAAGTTCTTGTCCTCCTTCAACTAAACTGACAAACTTATTCCTACCAAGAAGCTTTCCAGACAGATCACCAACAGGATACTGGTCTTGGGTTCCATATCCTACACAATCGATTAATAACCCACTGACAGTGCTAACGATTACGTACCATTGGGTGGAAGCATGTTGACATTAATTTTTAAGGGATTGTAGTAAAATTTAGTGGTTAGACACGAATTCTCCATTTGTCCCACGGTTTTTGCAGCAGCTATTGGTAGTTCATGAATTCTGTAACCAGCGACGGATGAGCTGTATACTAAACTTGTTTCTAGATCTCCTTTTGCTGTACTTAAATTAAAATTCAGGAACGTGGGCTCGAACTGGGTGCGCTGGGTTAGCTGCAGTTCACCTTTAATTCCCCCGGATTGGATTATAATCCTGAAAGAATTGATTTAGAGTATGCTTGGGCAGAACAACAGCAAGTACTTGGCCGTAACTGGAGTTTCATATCGAATTTTTGCGCACGTTAAAAAGGAGTTCTCGTGCTTGTCGTCGAAGATGACCAAATACAGTCGGCGTTGTGGTCCTGTCAAATCGCTTGGAAGTAAGATCAGCTCTTCGTCTCGAAACAGTGTTTTATATTGTTGTCTTCGGTAATTTGTTGCTACTTTAACTTTCCCCACCCTGGTGTCGATATCACCGGAGGCCAATCCGTCCCCTTTGTTATTGGGGTCAAACACGAGTTGTAGGATATTGCAGCTCGTTTCGATGCGCTCATCGTCGTGGTGCAAAAGATCCGTGGCGTAAATTTTCCAAGAGTGTTGCGTGAATCCGAAGCTACCGCCCGTTTTCGACACGCGGTACAGGTCGGTGGTGATCAGCATTTCTTGATCATTATCTTTCGTTGCGAACCACTTAAAGAAAACCGATCCGCTAACTGGCGATCTAAACTTCGCCACTGCCACCTTTTCCATAGTTTTATCAAGAAGTACAATTGAAGCGCAAATTAATTTGTTCGACTCGGTGTTGCGAAGTAACAACGATTTTCCGTAAATGCCAGATTCGCCGCCAACCCTTAAAGTTGTCGTCAGAAATTCGGCGGTCATGTTTTCGGGGATGTATAAAAATCCGAATACGTCGTCCAGGTTCACCAGCGTGTTGCCCAATTTTGATGATTCGCATCGATTTTCCAAATGAGAATAATCTGTCGGAAACTCTGTAATGGACCATGACCATATTTGGTTTGGATATTGCAGTGTCGCATTGAGATTAGTATTAATTTTTATGGCATCCTTTACTTTGGTAAATGTTACTGTTCCGTGAAGCCCTTCTTGTGATATGTAGGCCCTGAGTTCAAATGAGGCAGTCGAAAAATCTGGAATTATAATTTATTACAGCAGCTAGAGAAAAGAAATCGCAAGGATGTAGGTAGGTAATTATGTTTAACTAGAACGTTTCTAATATAATTTCAAGTTTTTAAAAGTAAACCAACATTTAAAACTTTTAGCGCATTATTGGTCATAGGTTGACGATTATTCTGAAATATCTAATGGAAAATAATGCAGTTTTAATTAAAGGTGAGGGAAATACCTTAGACATTTAAAATTAAATTACTCACGTATAAAAATAGATATCAAGATAATATTTAAACAAATCATGTCCATTATGATATCTTTGGTTTACGTTAAGGGTAGGTAAACTAGAACAAACTGAGATCACATTTTGCGCGTTTTCACTTCTTTAATGCAACTGTCCAGATGCTTTTATTGTTAGTGAGTGGATTGCTTTGAAAACATCGAAAGAAAATTTGATACGAACCGGAATGGAAAGTGAATGGAAAGTACTTTCAATGAAGGCTATACTTGCTTCCTCGAGTGTCCGTTATACCTGTGTTACCTGGGCGAAGTATTTTACTAGTGTTGGACAAGGATGGAATTCAACGGCTACCTGAATATCGCTCAGAATGGTAATTTTACAAGTAGTTTATAATCATTTATGTGGAGGTCTTTGTTGGCATTAGGGTTTAGGGGCGCATTCCTTGTTGAATGGTACAGTTATTAGTTTTTAAATTTACTCTTTTATTGTCAAGAAATGTATCCCGCGTGTAAATGTCTATCGAAAAGATCTTCGCTTCGCTTAATAGGTACCTCAAATGAACACCGATTCATATTGAAATCTATCTATCAATTTTTTCTATGTTCAATTATAATAGTCACACGTAATTAGGTAAAACTAAAATGAGGTGTGAGTGAACCTTTCAGAATTGAGAGCAAACGCATTGTCATTTGTCTCCCAAATAAGTACCTACCTACCATAGTGAAAACATAAAATGACTCAATAAAGATCATACTACCAAAGCCGTTTATGAGTAGTTTTTAGTGCATTTTCCAAAATGATAATTCGGTACCTATTACAAACTTTTTGATTCAGCTCGTCTCCGACTCTTATATTACCTACCTACCGTTAAACAATGCTATAGGTACAGTAGAAAAACTGTATTTATGTCTTGGGTCACTTTTTCTCAACTTTCTTGGGTACGCACCAAAATGCGTTGGTTTTGGTACAAAATTAAGAAAATAGGACAAAAGCTATCCCATAGATACGATTAGTGAAAAAGTTAGGTTTCCAGACCAAATATTGTAGCAGATCACCGTAATCTTGGAAAGTTTTGGCAATGTTCCAACACCTTGAATTATTGAATAAGTATATTGAATGGAATTTATGCAATTCTTTACGATGAATACTTTTGACAAGAATGATGCGTGAAAAATATAAATGTTTGTCCTATCGCTACTCTTTAAAACTGTTTAATTTTAATTAATACCTATAATGAAAATTGTAGAACAGGAAAACTGCCCCAAGCTTTGAATATTACCAATTTAGGTTTTTGTCTAGTTAATTTGGATACAACCTCGGATACTACCATATACTTTAATAGAGAACTTTCCGGTAGTAGGTATGTGCCTTCGAAGTTCGGTATATTAAAACCAGGATTAAAACAGAGGCTAACATGCGACTACCTACTTTCGCAAATATGACTAGAAACTTGCGATTAATTGCATGCTTCCTGTCTGAACGTAGACTAAGAGAGCATCATTTCAGTAAAGCTTCCAGTGGTGCTTTGAATCAAGCTTCTCAGTAGTCTGTAGGTTTTCATACAGAAACATGTAAGAACGAATGATCAGCTGTTGGTCCGTCAAAACACAAGTGACGATAATAAGTTCCCCCAACCAGTGCTCGGAATGGAAATTTTCGCGAGCCGGAACGCAAGCATCAGCCCATCAGGAGGAAGGGGGGGGGGGGGGGCATAGAAAACATGTAGTACGTACATAAAAATAACGAGAAAACGTAACAAAAATTAAATGTTTCATTTTTATTGTTTCCCTTGGTGTGGACACCAGTGGATACTAATAGGTTCCGTGTGCTGGTATGATCTGAAAGACGTATGATCGTTTCCATGTGATTTTTATCGCATTAATTACAAATAATCCAAGAATATTGTAACGTGTTTTATAAATTCGGGTTCGATTTATATCAATATTTATTAAACAGAACTAAAACACTAAATCCGTACAATTTATATCGATTATTTATATCACTCACACTTCGCAATTTATCTTTCCGTGCTCGATGTTTACGTACTCGTTCGGTAGTAGACTGCCGCGATGTTCGGTCCGCAACCATTTATACACGCAAGCAATGTAAATCCAGTACATTCTCGAATAATCGCGCGCGTAGAAAATTCCAGGGCGCCAAAGGCGACGTCATGTCTGGAGCATTTCCGTTACAATATGTAGGGTTCTGTAAAATTTCTTTGTGTGAAAGCGGAGAGGATCTGACGCTGCGGGCCCTTTTACGAAAAGGAACAGTGTACAAATATTTTCAACGAAACGGAACGATATTGTAATATTTTTTACCAACCGGAACAGCGTTCCGGCTCGTTCCGGTCCATTCCGAGCCCTGCCCCCAACGAAATTGATTAATAATGATTTGTTACCTTTTTCTCAAACGTACGTGGTCGGTAGGTTTCAAACTAGGCGATGCGTCACTCTAATACGAATCGAATACTGAAAATGCGAAAGCTTTACGATGTTGCGCTGCCGAGATTTCATGCGATATAATATACCTATAACAAGTATAAATTGTGTACAACTGTTGTGCAAATAAAGCGCATTTTTAACCGAAATAGCTTTTGTTTTGACATCACCAATGGATATATTTCTTGCAGACGTCTCAATCGCCCTTTGTGAGTACCTTTTTCCGACAATCCGTTCTTGAGGTGTGAGGGAATATACTCGATCACGATAAGAGGGATATGATTGCTAGAAATTAATTCCATTCGTTGAGATCTTTCGTTAGAGTACCATGAAGGATAAAACTAGTTCCACCCCTCCCCCTCCACCCCGTACTTTGATAAGGGACAGAAAGAAGGGCAGTAGTTGGTAGAAAACGGTTCCTTCCGTTGAGACCTTTAATTAGAATACATGAGAGATAAAAGTAATTTTTACCCCCCCCCCTCCCCTGAGGCCCCGTCGCTCATTGATCTCGAAAGAGAGTCGCACGGGAAAGTTATAGTTTGTACAAACCAATTTATTTCGACCTTTCATTAGAATACCATGAAGAGTAGAACATGTCCCCCCCCCCCCCCACATTTCCTAAAGTTTAACTTAGCACCACCAGGCATGCGTATGCAAAATCTGAGACCAATTGGTTGTCGTATGTAAAAGCTATGCACGTTTTATTTTCAAAAACAGCATCTCAGGAAATAATTCGTGGGGGGGGGGGCCCTTTTAGACAGCGAAATTTGATGGCCGGCTGGCACACCTTCACGGTATAGGCTACCTACTGCAAAAAATTCCAGGACTCTAGGACCATTCCCCTAGAAGTAGTTCAAAACGGTAGAAATGGGTCCGGACGGAAGGACGTCCGGACGGACGGACAAAACGCAAAAAATAGCACATTTTTTGTAATTCTTAAAAAATGCCCTAAAAAGCGCCCGAATAACCAGACAATTAATAAAATAAAGTTGTTCCTTGCTGATGGCAAAAATGCGTTATAATTACTAACCTCGCAACAAACTTTCTAGATTAGGAATAATTGCTTGAACGACACAATCGCCAAAACGTATAACAAACGCTGTAACCACAAGTATAAAGGTTTTCGCCCTATAGGCGAGTGACTTTAGCGCATTTTCCATGCATTGACTAGAGTACTTCCCAAAATGGCATAACTATGTAATCTATGTTTTTCTTTACGAAAAGTGTCTATGGTTAAAATTTCAAAGAAATGTCTCCATAAGTAAGAAAGTTGCACATCTGATTTTTGCAATATGCTATCGCACCTGCGCAGCCCTGTGGGTAAAATTTCAAACAAGTAAACAGCATTTATGGTCAAAATTCATCCAATTTTTACAATATGAGATATGTTTGCCTTTAACGGATGCATCTGTGATTCAAATTTTAAAAAAATATCTGATACATAAGAAAGTTGATATTGCGCAGCCTGCGCATGCGCACATTAATCGTCAAGATTTTTCTTGGCTCAGCTACCGAATTCAAATAGAACGAACTAAATATATTAAAGCTATAAAAGCAGTTAAGGTCTCGGATGGACGGACGGACGGACAGACGGGACTTACGAACTCATACAATTTATATATTCAGTCTTAAGTTATTTATTGGCGAATATGACCAATCTTCTTTTTTGAGTTACTATTGTGTCGTAGTTGAGTGGTTTCTCGTTGGATGCGCACTGTATACATTATTATTATTATACATATAATATATGTAATATCTAGGGATAGAGGCATGATTGGTGCCTTTAATAAAGGATTTGTTCGCGCAGTTTGAGAGTAGAATGCTTTTGTGTTATTTTGCGTCTATCACATCTATGTAGCTCAGTGGTAGAGCGTTCGGCTACATAGCTGGAGGTCGGGCGTTCGAACCTGGGTCGTGGTAAGAATTTTTCGTCTGTGACAGAGATGGGAGTAGTATAGAACACTTTAAGACCATTCTGCAGGGGCACATCTTAAAAGCATTATGTGGGTCACTCTGTAATTGGGCGCACAATAGAGGGATAATAACTAATTTAAATAAATAAGTTAATAAATAAATAAATAAATAAATAAATAAATAAATAAATAAATAAATAAATAAATAAATAAATAAATAAATAAATAAGTTAATTAATTAATTAATTAATCAATTAAAACTAATTTAATAGGTTAATGAATGTTTGCCAACAGAATCAGGTAGTAATTGTTTCTCTGTAATTGTACAAGTAGTTTTACGAGGAGATTTCTTTGCAAAAGAGCCGACTTGTCCCCGCGCCGAGTTCTTCGTGCAGAGTTGCTCCCGCGCGAAGTTGTCCTTGCACCGAGATGCCCTGGCGCCGGAACCGAGTTGGCGGCGCCGAAGTGTCCGGATCCACATTGCTACGACAACAACAAAAGGGCGCTCCCGCAAATCCGTAATAGCACAATCCGTAATTTATATTGTGCTGTAATACCGGGCGATCGAAAATGACTAGACGGACAGTTTGAAGGAAACGCAAAATTAAACATTTGTAAAGTTGGTAATATACCAAATGTCATTTATTTAAAAGCTGTGGTGCTAATTAAACAATCACTGTTCTTTTCAGTTCCGACTATCAACTTATTCTCATAAATGAATCCATGCTTCGTCTTCGAAACTACATTAAAACATTTCGATATTCCGTATTATGTGGTAATAGTAATAAATAGTTATCGTGCGTATTATGTTATAATCTGTAGTTATACCCACCAACTTGTATAGATAATTTCCGTATTAATTTCTTGGAGCTACTTTCTCTTACATTTTCGATAACGTCTACTAACAGCTACCTAGCATATTTTTCGTTTAATTGCTGTATGCACAACCAAGTCAACTATGACTTATGAGTATCTTCTAAACGTGTGGTGCTTGGTAGTACTTTTTTAAAATGAATAAATCAATATCCATCCTCTTTAAAAAGTAAAGTTACATGATCCTTATTAAGTATTTTCTCTTAATGTAGGTACGTACCTACCTTTGTTGCACTTGCAAAGAACCTTTGAATGTTTGAAAACAACTGTTTGCTTTAATAAACATGGAAATACGCCATCGCGGTACAGACAAGAAAATAAAAATTCACATAAAAACGACGTCAATGGATGGCGATTACTGCATAAAACCACTTTTTAAACATCTTTGCGAGTGCCTTAAGTAAAAAAACACTACAAACTTTACGCGCCAAATTTAAACTGTATGCAGTTATTTTGGATCACCCGGTGTAGCATGCTGTTTAGGTCTATTTAACAAGTTAGATATATCCATTAAGTTCAACACACGTTTTAAAAATGAAAGAACTAAAATTTCATTTTTTTCGCAAAACGGCGCAAAACTAGCACATAACTAATTCATACATTATTCATTTTTCTGTCGTATGTCAAAATACCTCAATTCGCAACCACCGTTAAAGTTGTGTTCGCGGGTGGACCAGGCAGGTTCCATGGACAAAATTGGGTTTTCTTGTCAGAATTTTCGATCACTGTCACACGGGAAATTGGTATTTCGCGTGACCCAATGACCAAATTCCACCTCTGGGTTTTCCGTGGACAATTAAAATTTCCTTCGTTGTATTCAGACTGAGACACAATGGCGTTTGGTATTATTTTAAATGGGAACAATAATTCTTGGTTGAGAGCCCGTTTTACAAAATCAGTTTCATTTTCATTCATTCATTTCCTAACTTGTTAAGTAACCAACGACCTATACCCATCACTTTAAAATGGTCAGAATGAACGCCAGTTTTATACCGAAGCTACATTATGAATATGTGTAAATTTCTATTCAAAATAGCGATAGTTTTCCACATAACTTGATATTGAAAACTTAGTCATAGCACAAAAACAAATAACCCGGTAAGTAAATATTTTTTTTCAATTTCAATCCTCTGACCTCCATTAGTCACCTATTCCTCGCCCCAAGAATTGGGCTATGGTATTTAAGTTCCTTTATAATGTTTCATTAGTTCGAAGTTGAAGAGAGCAAAATCTAATTATAAGCGCTCTCTATATAAGGTTTGGGGAAGGGTTGGGAAATCTGTGACACGAAGTTATTTAAGACGGCAGGCGTCGTTATCCCGGTCAGTCGCGAGTGTGTCTTTCTGGAGCCTCATACATCGTAAGACATAATGGTAAGCGGAATAAAATTAAAAATGTGATGTGATAATATTACCTATTTAAGTAATAATTAATAGTCGCTCGTTCCGTTCCGTACTTATATTCTATATTGAAAAAATTTAGTATGAGTTGTGAGCGAAAGTTTCGCGCGCCAACTGAGTTCTATTTTTAAATCAGTGCGGCGATGCCTTATTTGGCCAGAGTGATAAGTTTAACCTCGTCTCAAATTCGATGCAATGCAATTTCGACCAATGTTAATCTAATTTTTCGCATATAGGCTGATAAGGAGAAGAAGGTTAAGAAGAAGAAGAAGGAAGATGAACCAGCGGCGGCCGCTGCCCCTGCACCAGCTGCAGATACCCGTACATCTTCAAAAGGCTCTTCCAAGAAAGCAAAACGCTCCGGCTCTAATGTATTTTCCATGTTCTCGCAGCACCAAGTTGCTGAGTTCAAAGAAGTATACAGTGTCATTTTTTAGTGAACAAGTGTGTCTAAACGCATTTTTAGGGTTTCCAACTTATGGATCAAGACAAAGATGGTATTATCAGCAAGAGCGATTTGAGAGCGACGTTCGATGCCGTCGGTAAATTAGCCAATGAAAAAGAATTAGACGAGATGCTCAATGAGGCTCCCGGACCAATTAATTTTACGCAACTGTTGGGTCTATTCGGCACTCGTATGCAAGACTCCGGTGGTACCGACGATGATGATGTTGTCATTGCCGCCTTCAAATCTTTCGACGAAAATGGCACAATTGACAGCGAAAGGTTTGCAATTTATACTGATCACACGTAACAGATGCTTATGATAGGCGTTTCAGATTCAGGCACGCGTTAATGACGTGGGGAGAAAAATTCACCGCCAAGGAAGTGGATGATGCATTTGACTCCATGGAAATTGACGATAAAGGAAGAATTGACACGTTGGCGCTTATCCAACTTCTCACTGCTGCGCCAGAAGAAGAGGAAGAGGGAGCGGCCGCATAAACAATCTCATCATTCAATAGTTTATCATTTTTTATCGTCCATTATAACCAAATATCATCATCATAAGATACACTTGTCGCGAGGTCTAATGCAGTTCTTCGAAGAACTTGTGTAGTAAATATTAATTTCACTACCGAAACTGTTTATTAATTAAAAATGAAATTTCCATCATAATATGCAAATGCAACTAATGTAAACGTTTGGTCCTTTCCATCCAAGTGACTGTATATGTTTGTATATTATTTAAAAAAGCATTACATCTATTATTAGCTACTTTTTAATTTACTGTACATCAACTGCATCCAATCTTTTTGAGTCGTTATTGCTTTTCCTTTCTTTTATAGAAAAGTGTACTTATACCAAAGAGTAAATTATGGTTACTCTTTGCTTATACCTATACACACCACAAGAAAATGTGCGTTAGACCGGCAAATTTACAGGTCTCAAATCGTTATATCCATCCTATACCTACTGATGATATAAGAGTAGCTTTAAATATAGACTACTATTTTATAATCAAAGACGAATAGTATATAGCTTTGAATATTTATTAAATGAGGTATGCAGCCATCTGAGTCATCTTCGCAACAAGAACACTATGAAGAAGACTGAAAGAGAAGGCTAAAGTCGGAAAAGGCCATTTGGTAGACCGTTTTGAATCAAAGCTACAATGATGATGTTTAGAGCTTATCACGAATTTAGGTATATTTGCTGCAGAGGTATGGGAGGGAAGATATCGGGAAGTTTCAAAAAATGTTCGACCCTCTCACGCCCCAACATGCATCGATTACACAATGTAGGAGTTTCATTCGTGCATCTCCGTCCCAACCGAACCCTACCGAGATTAGAAAGTGGTGCGAATAATCAAAGGGCGCGAAACGCCCGACATTTTTGACAACGCAAGTTGGATGGCGCTGCTTGCAATTGTTCCTCCAGAGTTGCCAAATGGAAATAATTTTCAGTGTCCGTTGAGGAACCCTTGGGGTCATTATAGCGCAGAGCAAGAAAAATTAAATAATTAACTTCTACAAGGCGAATTTCAGTTCATCGGAAACTACCGCCGTCTGTTTTTCAACTTAATCATAGGTTCCGGCTCGGCACTAAGGTAGAATTATTTTTGAAGATTTTGAACGCAAAGATTTTAATGTTGACCAATAAAATAAACTACATATTTTTTCTTTTATTTTATATAGCAAATTTTCAGAGCGATATCAACGCGCCATCAAATCAAGTCGTGATCCTTCCGGGAAGAATGATATGCCGACTTTAGAGTACTCTAGAAGCGTTAAGTATATAAGACATTTGAATTCTGTTTAATAGAAGTTTCAATATCGATGCAGAAGTGATAAATGGTAAAATTTGCGCTTGTTATAAATTAATCTATTTAGGGACGATTAAAAGTTATTAATTATTTAATTGTACCTACCTACATAAATAAATCACGTAATAAAATTTATTGCAGCACATTTTCAGAGTGATATCAATGCGCGATCAAGTCAAGTCGTGTTCCTTCCAGGAAGACTGGTATGCTGACTTTAAAATACTCTAGAAGCGTTTGCTATATAAGAAATTTGAATTCTGTTTAATAGAAGTTCCAATATCGATGCAGAAGTCATAAATGTTAAAATTTGTCCTCGTGTTATAAACTAATCTATTTAGGGAGAACTGTCATACACCAATTCCAAGGTTTGTTGACTTAATAAGGAAACAATAATTGACAGGCCTCCTAATGGGTCACTGACACCTCATCAAAGACCCTCACTGTGCAGAAAGTGCGAGGAGTCCTTTGCATATTCTGTGTACTGGGTGGCATATAACAGGTTGAAGCACAGGTTCCTTGCGAAATGAGGATGCACCCAGGAATACCAAAATGCATTCTCAGCAGGGTCCTAGTGAGACTAATACTAGAGGATACAATAGGTCTTAAGGGCCAGGGTACAGGAACGTGATAGGCTCCTATTTGGTTTAGTTACAACAATATGAAAAGAATTATTGTCTAATAACGGTAAAGTTCATGTCCTTAATATATTGGTAACTAATGAAATGTTAACAAAACATTTGCAGTAAATTGATTTAACTGACCACTGTAACATTCAATTCTTCTTCGGCCTATATCCAAAAATTGAACTACCGACTCGTACGTTTGTACTTCCCATTTCAATCTGAAAAATCAAAATTTAAAGCTATGCTTTAAAGGGTGATAAATATAGACATCCAATATGGAACTGTCACAAACTGGTAAGATGGTAGAAAAACAAGTTTCCCACCAAAACTTAACCTAAGTCGTGGTTTGGGATATCAACATATTGGACACCCAGTATAAGGGCGTGTACCTACCGCATGTTCGAAGTCATCGGACATCCCCATCGATAGGTTTACATTTTTAAAATCCCATCCCAAACTTTGACAAATCTCATCTCTGCATTTTTTCAAACATATAAAATCTGGATTTGGCCCGTTATCAAGATTGTAACCAAACTGTCCAATCGTCATGATACCATCCACTTCTAAATTTTTGCAGTTGTCACTAACATGTCTTGTAAGATCAACAATTTCGCTAGGTTCAACCCCATTTTTGGCTAAAACAAATTACACATAAACCTATGTATTAAACATACTCAATGACCAGTTACCATCTTCTCCACTTGTATTAACTTGAAGCATAACTCTAAGTTTCCCATCATCTTTACGAAACTCAGGCCATTTCTGATTTAAAGCAGTTGCTAGCTTCTTCGTATGGACAGTTTCAATCATGTATAAGTTCGGAACAGCTAATATTTTGTTCACTTTGTTTGTTTGCACGTGTCCAATAAAATGCCATTTGATTTCTTTACACTTCTCCAATATATCGGTGCTATTTGACTTTTCTATTAATTCCTGCACATAGTTTTCTCCAAAATGTCTTTGACCTTCTTCGTATGCTTCTATTATCAAATTTGTTGGTTTCGTTTTACTCACTGCTACCAATTGAGGTTTCGCATACTGTAACTCCTACAACAATTTCGTATAAAACTGGATAAGTGTGAAATGGGTGTTTTACGGGTATTCGCTTTCCGCTTGCTATTTCTATTTTTTCTAATATTGTTCTCAACCCCAATTTTACATCAATATCAGCCATTCTTCTTAACATAACCTACAGTGTATTTCACTTTTGTGTTCCTGTCACTGCTACTGTGAATTATCGCTGTGGTCATAATCTATTGTGTAATAGTCTGCATTCACATTATGTTCCTGATAACAGAGCTATTATGTTTATTTAAGTCGTTAAATTAATAACACAACATAAATAAATTAATAAGTAGATATCATAGCCACAACCGACCAACCATTGTCGTGATTACTGGCCCGGTCCTCCACTCTACACCTTTTTGTAATTGTTTATTAATATACTGAGTGGTCCACAAGTTTCTTATGCAAATCCTTAATAACTTTTGAACAAAAAGAGCAAATGACAGTATATTTTATGGGGAATTTTTCAGGGATCTGGACCTATTGCAAATAACGGTTCCGGTTCTGACATTTTTAGCGGGAAAATATTTGTAACGGTTCCGGTCCGGGTTCCGGTTCTAAACATAATTGCGGTTCCGGTTTCGATTTTTTTTTTCGGTTCAAACGGTCCGGACCAATTGGAATAACGGTTCTGGTTCACATTTATAACGGTTCTAGTTCTAAACGTAATTGTGTTCAATCTTTTTAACGCATTTCCAAGGAAAGGGGGCGCTATTGTAGCCACTTTCTCTGTTCGAGGCCTTAACTACTCCTACAGTTTTAAAGATATTTAGTTCATTGTTTTTGCATTTGGTAGTTTATGGCTCTAGCACCTGAGCCAAGAAAAATCTAGACGATTAATGTGCGATGCGCAGGCTGCGCATTATCAACATTCTTATTTGTTAAGATATTTATTGGAAATTTTAACCACAGATGCTTGTAGTAAAAGCAAACATATCGTAAATGACCTTTCAGGTTAAGTCGCCTACTTTTAGTTTTGCATCACATATTTTGCAGGTAGATATTTTGTTATTAATATCATAAACAAAATGTTTATGTGCATTGTTTGATGATATTCGTCCCATTTTCTACTTCGCAAATCGCATTAACAGCATTGCACAACAAAACAAATCTATTTTTAAAATGGTTGTGGCTAAATTATCGGCTACCTTTTTCCTTTCCCTTTCTGGCTACGGCTTAAAGTAATATTTTATCTTTTTTCAGAACGCGTTGGCCGGCGCGTCCTTCAACTTCCAATAACCTGTTCAGAACCGTAAAAAAACCGAAAAGAACCGAAAAAAATAATAACGGTTCCGGTTCTCAATAAGATTCAATTTCTGAAGAAATAACGGTTTCGGTTCGGTTTTCGGCCCTGAAAAAAATACCGGTTTCGGTCCGGTTTTCGGTTTTTTTTCGGTCCGGTCCGAATCCCTGGAATTTTTACATTAGTTTTGAAAAATGACATCGGTCAAGTGGCCAGCATTAGAATTCATGCACGCATTATGACTCTTTTCATAACATTTTACATGACTTTTTTAAGTGTGGTGGCTGTAATTTTTGAAATCTCTGCTCGAATATTGTTTCTGAGCTCCTCTAAAGTTTGAGGTTTGTTGATGCTGACTTTTTCTTCAGATAGTCAAGAAGCTTAAGAGATCTGGGTGGGGATCGCGGATTCGCGGCAGCCATTCACTATCATGGTTTTTACCACCCGCACGTTAGTAAGGAAGTTGGAGTAAACAGTAAAAGATAACCCTCCACTTTTTTGACGGACAAACACGTTTTAAAGCATCAGGAATCTGAATGAAACAAAATCTCGATGGTGTCGATCTGCAGTCTCTCTTATTTCCGGCTAAACGGATGAACCGATTGGAACCAAATTTGGTGTACATATTCTTAGACATAGGTACCTAAAAAGAAGAGCTGAAAAACTGTTGTGCAGAATCACGCATGCGGGTGGTATCTATGCCGACCTCAGCAATTTTTTTTGATATGATGCAATTTGGAAATTGTTCTCGCCGTTTTCTCCAAATAATCGGAAGATTCGCATTCGCTGTGAAATTGTGCGCGACAAATCGATTAGGTACCTACCTAAAAATTTGCCTCCCGCCGCGGTTAATAATAAATTGAATCTTCTTCATTCAAACCGAGAACTGAGGTGGATAAATGTCACGTGTCGCATCATCAGCAGCATTTTCATGTGTTGAAACCCAGTTCCATTGAGTGGGTTCTGTTGAATCCAAAATTTCACCCACTCTATTAGCAACGAATGTCTTGTATTTTCTTCTGTCATCCTTGATCCAATGAAGTACCGTTTTCGAATCGCTCCAAAATGTCGATTTTGAAATAACAAAACTGTGAGATCTCAAAACAGTTTTATACATTCTAACTCCAAGAATTGCTGCCTGCAATTCGAGCCTTGGGATGGAAAGGTATTTGACAGGTGCGCATTTAGTTTTCCCCATGACGAATGATACTGTAACTTCATCTTGCGAAGTAACTCGAAGGTAGCACACTGCTGAAAAAGCGACTTCACTCGCATCTACAAATATGTGAAGTTCAACAGCTTTTGGCATCGGCAGTCCCTTTGAGTAACAACGTGTAATACGAAATTGGCTAACCTTTGTTAATTCTCGACTCCATGCACACCATCGCTCGTAAAGATGTGTAGGAATTGGTTGATCCCATTCTACACCAGACCTCCATACAGGTTGCAAGAGTACCTTCATGTATACAAGAAAATCCGCTAAGAATACGAACGGATCATATACTGACATGACAATCGCTAAAAATTCTCTCTTTGTTGGAATTCTTTCACAAGTGATCACTGTCGATTCTAAACGATTAAACTTCAAGTCGAATTTGAACTCGTCAGTGGATGTGTCCCATACCATGCCCAGTATCTTATCACATGTAGGGGATTTGTCCAAGTTCATATCCACTTGATATAGTTGATCATCTTGTTCCTGATTCAAGATCGAAGTAACCTTTCTTGAATTTGATATAAAACCTCGTAATTCAAAACCACCAGCCATCTCAATATTTTTAACCATCATGGATACAGTTATTGCCTGTTCATCGGTGTGAAAGCTATTAACGTAATCGTCAACGTAATGTCGTTCAATAATTGCTTTGGCCGCTTCGTGATGACTTTCTAGATACTGTGTTGCATGAAAGTTTTTGACATATTGAGCTGTTGTCGGTGAAGATGTGGATCCAAATATCATAACTAACATCTTATATACCTCAATTTCGCCAGTTTTATCATTTCTCCATAAAAATCGTTGAGAGTTTTGGTCTTCTTCACGAATTATCACCTGGTGAAACATCTCCTTGATGTCAGCACATACCCCAACTTGACCTTCACGAAATTTAGATAAAACCGTGAGGAGTGGCTGATTTAGATCTGGACCTGTCAACAATGATGAATTAAGGGATGTTTCTCCAACTTTAGCCGCGGCATCAAATACAAGTCTGAATTTTCCAGGCTTATTTGGATTCAGTACACCGAAATGTGGTAAATACCAAGTCCGTGGAGTAATTTCAACAACCTCTTCAGATGACAATTTACGAGCATATCCTTTCTGCACGTCGCTGACAATAGTTTCCTTGTACTTCATACCGTAAACAGGTTCTTTTTTCATCTTGTTTTCAACATTTCTCAATCGACTGACTGCCATTGGGTAACTATCTGGTAAAACTATGTCATCGTTTTTCCATAATAGACCACTTTCGTAACGACCTTTGACCTTTTTTGTTGTTGATTCCAATAGTTGACGCGCTCGAACCGTTTCAGAAGACTCTCTTGGTGTTGTTGATAGTTCAACACCAAAGTTTTCAGTGGTAAAATACTCTTTCACAATAGCATGTATGTCGTCAAAATACCCTCTCACATGAAACATTCTTCCTGGACTTGATTGTATCTCATTGTCAACTGTTCTTCCATAAATTATCCAACCAAGAGGACTTTCTGCAACAATAGGTCCATTTGATGTTTGTTGAATCTTTCTGTTCGATAATCCCAAATGACAAAAGTCCAATCCTATTAATAGCTCTGGTCGGGCGTCAGTATAGCTGGCAATAGGAAGATTTTGTAAGTTGTCATATTTGGAATGAAGCTGATTCATGTCTACAGTTTGCATTGGAAGACAAAGATTGTTTACAGTACACACATTCCTCATCTCGAACACTTCGGCATTGTTATGGACTCCAGATATATTAAATTTAACGATTTCAGTTTCTTCAGAACTACAGTGGTCTCCGAACCATTGGAGATTCAACTTTCGCATAGGTCCCTTCAACTTCAAACGTACAGCTACGGTTCTCTTGATAAGGCTTACGCTTGATCCCTCATCAATCAATGCATACGTGGAAACAACTTCTCCTCTATTGTATAATTTTACTGGAACTACTTTAAACAACACCTTGGATTGATTTGCTTTCAACGCAGCATGACAGGATACTTCCATATTTAAAACCGTTGGCGTATATTTATTATCTTGACATTCACTGTGTAATTGAGGATGATGAACTCTGTTACATCCATTCTTATTGCAAGACTTTCTAATGCGGCACATTCTAGTAGAATGTCCAAATTTCAAACAAGAAAAACACAATTTCTTTTCTGTTACTAACTTCCATTTATCATCTGTAGATTTATTCAAAAAATCCGGGCAGTTAGCGATGAAATGGTTCTTTTCGCATAAGACACAGTTCATTTCTTTCTTACTTGTAACGTTGGAAGTGTGAAGCATTTGATATTTCTTGGGTGTCGTCTTTTTCTCTGTCGGAGAAATCAAAGAATTGCACACAGGAACTCTGGCTATGTTGTCGGCTTTAACTTCAATCCAGTTACTAAAATCTAATATAGACGGGACACCAGTCAGTGAGCTAATATGAGAGGCCCATGCAATTCTCATATTCATTGGGAGCTTTAGGATCAACTCATTAAGCAGTGTGGGATTGGCAAGCTGATGTTGACTAGAACAAGTCAACATAAAGTGACTAAAGTTTATCACTTTGTCAGCAAAAGGAATAATCTGTCCCACACTATTTTCACAGATTCCGGGAATGTTTTTCAACATAGTAATTTGTGCGTCCACTAAAAGTTCTGGTCGACCAAACCTGCTATACAATCTCTCCATGATCTTCTCCGCCATGTCGTCGTGAATTAATAACCATTCAACAAGCTCCCGAGCTTTCCCTTGCAAACTACTGTTTAGTCTCGTTGTATTTTCTGAAGAAGTATCTGCAAACTCTGTCGTAGTTCTTTTATACTCTGCATTGAAAACCAGCCAGTCGCAAGGATTTCCATCAAACTTTGGCAATGCTACTAAATACTTTCTGACAGGTAACGATGGATGCTGTTGCCAATATACAGGGTTATTTGGGTAAACAGAAAAACTAGGAATTGAACATGAAAGTGTTGACTGTTGGTGCGTAGAATTTCTTGTCGGAGTTATCGAAGGCGAAGGCGTATCAAACTGTGCAGGTAATGTTACTGGGACTGTATTATTCAGTATAGCTGATGATCGAGTTGTAGTAGGGACTTCAATTTTCATCGTTCGCTGAACTTCAGCTAGTTGTCGATTTGTAGCTTCCAGCTTCTGATGAAGTTCATTATTCTTCTCTTCCATCCTTGTCTGTACCTCTGTATTTTGCATCAGCTGTGCTTGCATCAATGTAATCTGATTCGTAAGTCCTTCCAAAAGTGACGTAACCATAGAATCTTCCATTTTGATTGTTACATCCAAGTCTTTGTCGTCGTTTGAATCGTCAGATAAACTTCCAGTAACAAATTCCTCGAGGTAAGGTGGTGGACGCCCATTATTCAACCGCTCACTCTTCTTTGGCATAAATGACTATTAGAATGTCAAATTTAAGAATAAAAATGTTGTTGGTCGTAGTCGCGACCAGTCGTCGTTTTGATTAGGTACTGGTTGGTTCAGGTGGCACTGTTTATAATTTAATCCCCCAAACTAATATTCACCATGTCAAAGTAAGGGAAGATTTATTTAAATTTGGTGCCCTTAAAACCAGTTCACCAATATACAAAAAAAAGCTCAATATTTGACGTTAAATATTTCAGCTGACAAAATTAATAAAAAATGCAATTATTTAACAGTCAAGGCTAAAATGATGATCTGCAACACATCTCACCCAAGCTTACTATCGGAAAGATGAAATGCAAATAAAACGCTGGTTTTAACCATTGCGTGAATGATGTTAAATCACGAGTACCGCAGACACGAGTAAATTTCACGAGGTGGTTAGTTTTCCTTTATCGCGTCGTGTATAATACCATTGAATAAGTATGATTATACTTATTCAATGATAATACACTTTATTTTATAGCAGAACCCATATAAATGATTTTAAAGCTTCTGACAATTCTTAAGTTAATTTAGACGTCAAAAACAGCAAACTTAAGTTCTGCCGTCGCTGTCCAAACAGCATTGTCATATGTTCTGAACGTCATTTTATAGCGTGCTCCCCGTCCCAATTGAAATAAAAATGACAAATGTCATTAGAATTTATCCTTGCGTTTAAAGCGATCCCCTGAGCTACCCTCACGGTTAAAGAGCGACTACCCAAACCTATCAAAATATTAATTTAACATCTGATATAAAATCAACAACGTTTATTGAACAATTTGTTAAAATGCAAATTTTGACATAATTTGCCAGAATCGTGGAAATATGGAGAAAGAGATGTACCTAACTGTAGGACAACGCGAAACACCTTCAACATCACCTCTACCCTACAATATGCAAAAATGAACAATCTAATAGCATATCACTCTTTGAATACTTTTAACATTAACATTAATACAACATTTAAGAGGTTTAAGAGTGGCCCACTCAAATAGAATTAAAAGTCTACGTCCTTTCCCACTTATAGATTGTGAAGTACATCAATCAATTGTTAATTAACCGAATCTTCTCCAATCCAGAATGTACCAAGGTCCTGGATATGGTAAAACTTTTAGCACAGATTTATAAATCTGTGCTCTTAGATTAAAGTTATATTTCAAGATGGCCGCCGCTAAGTAGATATATTTTAGAACTCCGGTATTTACCTCTACAAGGGAGAATATAATTAGTAACACTCGAAAAAAGCAGATTCGTACACCAAAAGATTGAAGTTACCTACTAATCAATCTAAATGAGTAACATTAAATAAAATTAACAACATTTATAGTGAAACCATTGAAATGATAGTTATAAATTCAATGGTGAAACTAACAAATAACTACAACCAAATTCAAGTAACTAATATTCTTTGGTTACACGTAGGGCTGAAAGCAACACAATTTGCCATAATCTTGACAATATTCAAAGCCTTTCAGAAAATTCATTTGGAAAATACAGCTACATACATCTATGGTATAACCTGGAAACTAGGTCTAGCAGCCGTAGCCGGTTGTATTTTTTTTTACTGTACAAAAGACAACCATTTATTTTTAGTAGCTCAAAGGAAAAGATACCTATGTTAAAAGAAGCGAAAACAACATCCTTTTCTTTGCAAAGGTAGGTATTCCTCATGGGAAAGTTAGTATTGACACTATTCATTCATAGAGTGCGCTCAGATGTAGTTGAAATCCAATATTCTACGGTGGGATTTTACGCAAGACCACTTAGAGACGAATCTAATTTTTGGGTATTAATCATGAATACAAAATGAGATCATTTATTAAGTAGGTAGGTAGTTATTGAAAGTTGCACATTAAAATTTGAAGTTTTCGCTTAAAAATGAAGGCGTCTTTAATGTAACCTGATGTTGTCTTGCAAAAGCAATCCTTCGGTTTCTCGTTGATAGGAAATGAAAGTCTATATACCTACCAATCATCCCTTGGAGCAAATTCAGAGAAAATTTTGCTAATGCATGAAAGATGGCAAAGGGTGCCTATTTGTTAAAGCATTGTGAAAAGCTTAAAACATAACTTTAAATGCCCTTTAATTTTCTATACAAACCAGAAAACAAAGCTATAACAAAAGCGTTTACAGCGATAACGCATTTGTAAAGACATCATTTTTACCACGAAAGCACTGTAAAAACATTATGAAACCGCCCTTCGCAAGATTATTTCAACGAAATATATAGGTAACTGATACCGAATCGCTGTAATAACCATTCGAACAGGGATGGATTTCGTATCTAGATTAAATTACAATTTTTTGCTTAACATTTTTGCTGCAGGTCGCCTTCGGATGTACTGTTTTTGTGTTTTGAAATATACATCATCGATCGTTTCACGTTCAGTTTACTGCGAAATCTTTGCGAAAGTATAATGTGGACTACTTTGCGCCTAACTTACATTATCATGTGGTATGTGGAGGGTTAGTGATGCCAATGGAATTCAACGGTGCGTGAAGAAGTCATCTGTTGTTAACAATTATAGGCAACTTAGCGACACAATGCAGCCCTTACCATATAATAGACTGGATAATGCACTGACATTATACGCTATATTGTACGCTCCGAAATTAATCGCTTGTGAAATATAAATTTATTTGGTAGTTAATGGACGCATTTATATCATTTTGATTTGGCTTGCTTTCTACGTATCTACTGTACCTAGTCTGTTTGTCTGCGACCAATGTAATGTGTTTTGTAATTGACGTTGCTTTCCATTAGGCATTGTTAACTGATGTGCGTACACTACCAATCACCAACATCTATACAATACCAATACTTTTAAATATTTCTACTTTTGGCCGCAGAATTCATTATGTCAAATTCGCCTGAGAACAATGTTAAAATTTCATTTCATTTTTGCTATAAAAACTTATTAGTTCTGAAAAGAGTTAATCGTCATAATACATGTACTTATACACAGGGTGGATTTTCTGTACCCAAAGTTGTTTTTGTTCAATATGACAGAAACTAAATTAAAGAAAATAATATCACCTAAAAATTATTTTTATACACTGTGGCCAAGGTAAGAATATCTATCATGGGGATCTCGGAAACCTCCATTGAAGATACGACGATGGTCAAATTAGGGTAACTAACATGCTGCAAATTAAAAAAAGATCAAGAAAATTCCTATTACTTCTGAAGATATGCCAGAAAAACCCAAATTTGCGGTTTTTGTTTTTATATTTTTCTGATTTCTTTATTTTTTCGTATGGCTCATGTTTTATTACGAACACAAAGATTTACGGCACAAAAAAACCAAAGTGCAACATACTGTTGTTGGTTTCAACGGTTTTAATAATTATGTGGGCTGGTATTTTCGGTACAAGGATTATACGATCATTTATTTACCACCATACCATGTCCCTAGCGATAGTGCAACTGTTGGATAGAGCAGGATGGTGCCCCTGCACATAATTCTAGAACCTTTCGAGAATATCTTTCAATGAGATTTCCAGAAAAAGTGCTTAGCATGCATAAATGCTGACTAGTGTGTTAGAATCAATGGTGAGAACATCCAGCGGTAATTTACAAGTGAAAATCTGTAGACGGTGACGGCGGAACGGTGGCAGAAAACAGCGGAACGGAAGTGCTTCGGGGACCACCAGAAGTTTTCGGCCTCTCTTGCATCTGGACAAGATGCGGTCGGCGATGGTAAGCTACAGGTAACTTAAATGGAGAACGGCAGGCCCGGGAATTCTAAAGGGCAAGCGATGGGCGGCTACTGGTGAATGGTAAAACAAACGCACAGCAATTCCCCTACGCGAAAACAGTGAATAATCGGATTTGGTAGCTGTTTCTACGGAAAAGCACATACAAGAAAGCGAGATATTTTCCCA